TTAAAGCTCTAAATCTTCCTGTCCTATGTCTCCAAATACTTCTTATCAACTATATAGAGAGAGAGAAGCTGTGTGTTTGGAACTTGGGTTTATGGAGTTGATTGCTGGGGAGTTGGGAGAGAGAGAGAGAGAGAGCGGTAATGATTTGTTTGGGATTTAGGTTTTGTGGGCAATGTAAAATGTAATGTGGGCTGCTTCTAGTGAGTGATGCTTGTAATGATGGTTTTTCCTCACACTTTTGATTCTTATATTCCCTGGTTCTTTCTTTTTTAACTTTATTCAGTCACAATGAGGACTTCTTTTTTGAACACAAAGGGCTTTTTCATTAGTTTTCTTTCTTTCTTGAAGTTCTACATAATCATAAATTATTTGCCGTTAAGAGTTAGAATAAACAATATGAGTTGTGGGTCTCACATACATAACTACAACTATATAGCTATTAACTAAAGTTTGTTTTAATGTAAACAAAATATAGAGACTTGATCATCTTGACCACAAAGAGACAATCACTTATACAAACTTGCATTTAACACTTTGGCCTTCAAAATATTCACTTTGATTACGAATTAGCCTTGGCTTTAATTTTTTTTAATGGATGTGAAAACTGTAGAAACTCAACCTCATTATCAATTGGTTTATATATCTAGTTTAAATTAGTCTATCCTATGCAGTTGTATTTGATTACTCAAAACTATTTGCTTGGAGAAGTGATTTCCATTATTTATAAAACATAGAGATCTGCAACAACAATTATTTCAGTATATCAAACTGAAATAAAACAAGGTATAGTAGTATACTTTTTGCTCCTTTACTTGTGGGAAATATAGCAGTTTGATTAATTTGACTTTATGTCGAAGTAGGACCTTACAAAATATAGCAACAAGGCGTACTTTTGACTAATCTCGCACCAACTTTGTGTATTTATTATTCATATTTTCAACCCAGCTCTCGTTGTAGCATGTATAATGTATTGGCTATATAGCCCGAAGGTAACTGTAGCTGTAATTTTAAAATGTTTAGACCCTTATTATTAAAGTTTGTATCTTTGATTGCGGTAATCCCTTTGCATTATCTACACAAATATGAAATCAGAACTTTAGAAAAAGAAGAAAAAGAGGTAGAAAAAGAAACTTAACGTTAATTACATCAACCGTATATTTGTGCGGTGGGATTTTAGTGGACAGAAACAACCCAAAGATACAACTTTCGGTGTTAAAAGAGTACTAAACGATGATAAAGTAATACGAAAAAAAACATAAAATCAGAAATAATCCCGTGTAAGAGGGTAGGGAAGATGAGCAAATGAATAGGAAAAGCAAGTGGGACACAAATTTGTTATATAGGCAACAACATAACAAATGATGAAAAGAGAATTTTGGACCGACTATATCCAAAATACGGATTCACCTAATCTTTACGGTTATAAGAAATTTAATTCTTTGACATTATTTGTTTTCTGTTCTATAAGAAATTGTTATCTTAAGAAATAAGTATAACTAGGTGATTTTCCCGTGCTCTAATTATACATGTGACTTTGGATATATTATTATCAGTTTAATTATTTTTTTTTATCAGTAGTCGGTTTGGTTATCAATTTGGTATATTGGATAATATATTTTTTTCAAATTCAGCTATAATATTTTAATTCTAAATAGAATAAAACTTTGATTAATTTTCTTATTCTTATTTCGGTTGATTATTGTCTTTAGATATGTAAATATATTATAGTCAAATTATGTATAACTTAATATATATTGTGCTTAAAATGAAATAAATAATAAGCTGAAGTGTTTGATTCAAAATTACATAAATGAATATAATGATAATATTTTAAAGTCACATGCATATAAATTGATTAATATTTTTTTTTAATACACTTTGAGTAAATCTCTAATTTATATGTAGAAAATTAAATATATTATTATTATAAAATTATAAGATGTTTAATTTTAGATATAAATTAGATCAGTCGAGTCATTCATTTTGTGAGTATATTGAGTTAACTATATTTTTAAATTAAAATTGAAGTATAATTACTTTTTATTTTAGTCAAGTCATATCAAATTAGTTTTATTTATCGCTTAAATATACATGTATTTTCATAATATTTATTTACTCTTTATTTTAGCTAAGTCATATCAAATTAGTTTTATTTATTGCTTAAATATACATGTATTTGCATAATATTTATCAAATTATATGTTGATTTCTAAAAAATATTAGAAAATAAAGTGGAACTGATAAATTTTTAGATGTTCATGAACATATATATTTTTTTATTATTTTAAAAATATATTTATGTTATTTAAAATATATATTAATGGGGGGTATTACTATTTTGTGAACTTTCCATTTTAATAAAGTCCTATTATATACATATATTTTCTTTTTAAAATTTTAGAAATATTTCCTTTTTATTATATATGTTATTTGGAAAAAGGAAAAAAAAATAAATGAAAAAAATAATCTTAAAATCTAATAATTCATTAAGGGTATCTATGTAATCAACCATCGCGAGAGTGAACGTGAGCGCGACACGTAGGAAACTGACTTCTCAAATAATATTATAGAGATAGAGATAGCGACCCTTGAAAATCTTCAATGTCTTTTTTTTTTGGAAAAATGTTAATTTTTTTCGTTTTAAGAAGTTTTTTACAAAAAATGCAACTCTCAGTAAGAACCTAACTAGGCTATAGTAATCTGAGATTACAAGTGCAAAAGATAATTAGATTGTTTCGCAAGCAAACCATAAATCCATTGTTACTAATCTCCTAATCTAATATGTGTTGTAGATTACAAGTATCTTGTTGATACTCTCATAATATTCTGTTTAGAGATTGAATTTTTATTCCATTTCAAAACATAGCTCTTGTCTTTTTCCTTAAACATTTTTCTTTCAGATTCTTTGATTATAATCTTGATGTGGTTTATACTATACAACGGATCTCGCTACTTTTCAGAGCTTTGCAAGAGGCAGCTTTCTTGATATGTTGTGTAGCTTTAGTTTTATGTTATACTACTTACTTAGGTGTATTGTCATGCTCTTTAAGAGGGGCTCATTTGTTTTTTGCATTTACATGACACCTCCTCAGTGGGGGTTGAATGAACATATAAAGTTGTTTATTGTTTCTGGAGATCAGTTTTTTTTTCTAGTTCGAATTGCCAATCCCGAGTTATATAAAGAGCCGATTCTTTGGGAGTTTGATCTTAGTTAGCTTGTGTTAGTATTCTCAGAAGAAGAAGCACCTGAAATACCTTTCTTGATTATACCATTGGGTATCAACGTCGATTTCGACTATCAATTGTTCTTTCGAACAATCACCTTAGAGATTAAGATGAAACTTCTCCATGAAGTTCTTTATCTTGCTGAGCTTGAGCTTGACTCGCCTCTTATAGGCTTTATCTTTCTATGTTTTGTTGTATTGCTGAGCATGTCTTCGGGATCTTCCGTTTCAGTTGTAATCGTTTATGCCCTTTGAAGTGTTTAATATAAATTTGGTGTTACAAAAAAAATATTATACCATTGCGTTTGCTATCCTCTGCTTGATTATGTTTTTTTTTTCTATTTCCACAGACATCTTTCATGAAACCAGGTCATAGAAGCATAAAAATGACATGGTCGTCTGAGACGTGTGCTAACAAACTTCTTTGTTCTGCTTTTCAACCTCCTTCTTTGGCATCATGCAACTGTCCATATATGTCTTTCTTTCTTTACCCCTTATTCCCATGGTTTTGGATTTAACTTCCTTTGTTCTATTCTACTTCCAATTCATATTTTGAGACTGGAATAACTGTTACTTTTGATGAACTCAAGTTTTCAGGTGCTTTCTTGGTATCGTTACTAAATTATTCGCACTTACAACTCAAAAGTTTAATGAATTTGACGCAATAAACTTTGAATAAAGAGGACAAGATAATAAGTCAACCTTAACTACATTAGCATACCTCTCTGGACATTTAACTGTTTGTATGTAGAGCTCTCACTCACTAAACAACACAAATGTAGTTGAAACATACATGTTGCATCATCAACGTTTGAGTGACTCAGAAGCTTTATCATGATAATTCATCAAGCTTCTGGTTCATGATAAAGCTTCTGAGTCACTCAAACGTTGCTGCTTGCAGCGTTTAAATCTGGTGTAGTCAATGGCAATTCTATTAAAACTGTTAACCAAAAGCTTTATCATGAACCAAATGAATTAATTGGAAACCTGGAATCATTTTTTTGTTAGTTTTGTGAACCCTATGCAATTTCTAATTTTATAAGAAGAAATCAAATACCTTTGCAAAAAAGCTCTAAATTTTTTTGCTAAGAAAATTTTGAGCCCTGTGCAAGATGCACATGTCTAGATGGGCCTGCATTTTCATAAGGTCTAAATTAGTTACTTACAAAAACAAAATTTTGAATTAATTATTTTTAAAATATCGAAATGTAGTGAAAGAGACATGATTCCGTTAGTCATCTGCCACTAGTTCTAACCGTCAACATCTATATCATTTAGTGGATTATCAAAATTATATTTCATATCCACAATAGATACAAAATTCATATTTACTATCTGCAACAAAGCTTCGGTGGAAACGGTTTACTTACCTGGATTTTAACCGAAGCTTATGAATAATCTTTGAAACGCTTAAACCTAATTAGTGTTACATAACTTATTTTGGAATTAAGCAAAAAATATACTGGATATTTCTATAGAATATTATGTTATGCTATTGCCCATATTACCAGAAGGTCCAACATAACATCTTAGATTTACTAAAAAAAAAAAAAAAGTAAAAATGTTATGTACGACGTGTCTAGTTGTCTAATTTAGTACCGTAGAATTAAATTCGGAATTTTCAGGTATTGGAATATCGAAAAGGGCAACAAATCTAACACATAAACCATTAATGTGTATATTTATTTATATTTGTTGTTATGAAGACTGTTTAAAATTTATTTATTTAATATTATAATCTTATCTCTCAGACACACAGACCAAAGCCATTATCATCAGAAGCAACTTGTGTGTCTTGTCTCTTCTCTCATTCGTCCTCATCTGCCCTTTAAATCTCTCGTACGAGTCGCCACCTCATCCATCATTTATAAAACTCCTCCAACGATTCTCTCTGTGCTCGTTTGTGTGTAGGAAAGAAAAAGAGTTATGTCGATGATGGCGATGACAATCCGTAACTCTGCTTCACGGGGAACCATGATGAGCCGTCAGATCTACGGATTGAGATCTATGTCGTCGTGGTGGAAGAACGTGGAGCCTGCTCCCAAAGATCCCATCCTCGGAGTCACCGAGGCTTTTCTCGCTGATCCTAGTCCTGACAAAGTTAACGTTGGTGTGGTTAGTCTCTTGCCCTCTCTCTCTATAGATCTTATGGATATTACTTTTCGTTTTGATTCTTTTTTTTGTGGGGAATGTTTTGAGGATCTTTGAATTTGAACATTTTTAGATCCATTTCAATGAGTTCTCTCATTGAGCTGAATCTTTTAGATGATAGATTTGATTTTACATGCCTTATGGTTGATGAAGCTAATATATGTCATGGTTTAGGGAGCATATCGTGATGATAATGGGAAGCCTGTTGTGTTGGATTGTGTCCGAGAAGCTGAGCGTAGGATTGCTGGCACCTCCTTCATGTAAGCTTCACTTCTTCTCCTCAAATTAACTAACTTGTTGATTGTTGACCTGACAAAAATTTATTCCGAAAAAGTTGTGTGATTAGTAAATTGCTGAATTGTGAATCTGAAGAAACCAATATGTGTGCTTTGCTTTCTCTTTTTTCTTTTGTAATCAGAGTATCCTTTTCCTTACTTCGTTAACTCAAAAGAGGTGTTTGTTTATTCATAGACATGAGATGGTGGTTTGCTCTTTCTACCATGGTTTTGGTTTTTGTGTGTTTACAATGCAGATTGTTTGCGTTAAGTCAAATAAATGATTTGTGGAAATGTAATTGTTCCTTGCACGTAGATAAATAAGGTTTTTTTTATTAATATAAACCTCTATTTCTTATCAAGTTGTTTACTTTGACTTCCAGATGATTAACCAATGTCTTTCAAGTTCTTCACATATGATTTTTTGATGAATAATAATAGCTTGTGGTGGTGATAGGTTCGGAAATTGTCTGTGCAGAAAGCTGCATGCTTCTTAAAAAGTTGCAACTTAAAACTGTGATATGATATTTAGAATGCACTCAAATAAAATTACCAATTTCTCTCGTTTTGATACAAGTAGCGCTTGATTTTTGTATACATCATGTGAAGGAGATCAATATAACTATATCTACTGCTGTATTAATCTATTAAAGGGAGTATCTTCCTATGGGAGGGAGTGTCAAAATGGTGGACGAAACATTGAAGCTTGCCTATGGGGACAATTCTGAATTTATCAAAGACAAAAGAATCGCTGCAGTTCAGTCTCTGTCCGGAACTGGTGCATGCCGACTCTTTGCTGACTTCCAGAAACGTTTCCGTCCCGATTCTCAGATCTACATTCCTGTACCAACCTGGTCCAAGTGAGTTTCATGCAGTTAACTTAATCGTTTACAGTGTGCACCAAAGTAGGCATAATAGCTTATGCTGTCTTTTTCTGTGAAACAGCCATCACAACATCTGGAGAGATGCACAAGTCACTCAAAAGACATACCATTACTATCATCCAGAAACCAAGGGCTTGGATTTCTCTGGATTGATGGATGATGTGAAGGTTAGCAAGAACAACCTTATTTTACATTTTACTCATGTTGATATGATAACGTCCTAATTATTTTAAGCCTTTTTTTTCTCATAGAATGCTCCCGAAGGCTCCTTCTTCCTTCTTCATGCTTGTGCTCACAATCCTACTGGAGTAGACCCTACAGAGGAACAATGGAGAGAGATATCACAGCTATTCAAGGTGATATTTTATTATTTATTTCACTTCTCGTCTCCCCTGTCAGACTAATAACAGCTGAGTTCTCATTTTCAGGCGAAAAAACATTTTGCATTCTTCGACATGGCCTATCAAGGTTTTGCAAGTGGTGATCCAGAGAGAGATGCCAAGTCCATCAGGATCTTTCTCGAGGATGGTCATCATATTGGAATCTCTCAGTCTTATGCGAAGAACATGGGACTCTACGGCCAGAGAGTCGGTTGTCTCAGGTAATCATTATCAACTTGTATGAGAGAGAGCCGATGTAGTTCATTAGTGAAAAAGGTAAGAACATATATATGACTACTTTGTCCTCTGCTGCAGCGTGCTTTGTGAAGATGAGAAGCAAGCTGTGACTGTGAAAAGTCAGTTGCAGCAACTAGCTAGACCAATGTACAGTAACCCACCTCTACATGGAGCTCAAATAGTCTCAACTATTCTTGGAGACCCTGAGTTAAAGAGCCTATGGCTAAAGGAAGTTAAGGTAACATTCCACCTTATTTATAGCTTCCTTAGGCTTGCATTGCAATTCCATGTTTTATCTGCATACATTAGCTAAAACATGGAGACTCTTATCTTATGAAACACCTTGTATTCCATATTCATCCTTTTGTGTAGATAAGTCAACTTTAGAATTATAAACTGTATAATTTATAATGGAACAGGTCATGGCTGATCGGATAATTGGCATGAGGACTTCATTGAGAGAAAGCCTTGAGAAGTTAGGATCGCCTCTATCATGGGAGCACGTAACCAAGCAGGTAAGAACCAAATAGTTTTTTTCTTTTTTTTTTTATGAACTTTTCGGTACTGATTCTCACAGTAACATAACCATTATCTATATATGGGGAAACAGATTGGAATGTTCTGCTACAGTGGGATGACACCAGAACAAGTTGACCGCTTAACTAGCGAGTATCACATCTATATGACCCGTAATGGTCGTATCAGGTAACTTCACTTATTCCATTTCTTAATTTTAATGCACTGCCAAGTGGTTAGCAAATCATTGAGGATCTTGATTGATGTGTTTGGGTTGCAGTATGGCCGGTGTTACAACAGGAAATGTGGGATACCTTGCGAATGCTATACATGAAGTCACCAAGTCATCTTAAATTGTTTTACATGTCTCAAGTGGAGAGATAAATTTGTTTCTTTCTGAAGAGTTAATAAGACAGAGGAAGCCATGTTACATGTTCTTCCACAATTGTTTTGGTGGGGGCTGAAAGTCTTACCCACAAACAGTAACTTTATCAGCACAATAAATTCTTGAATTTATCTTTAAACCGCTTTTTAGTTGATTTCAAATGTTTTGTCTGCTTATATAAATTGCTGGAGGTTTAAGAGCTTAGAGATCAGTTTGAAGATTGTGAGTTGTTAGTTGGATAGACTTGCCAAGTGTTTTAAGGGGGAAGTTTCCAAGGTAACTGGAAGTTCAAGTACAAACGAACAAATTAGGAGCAGAAAGGGAAAGAGAAAAAATCACAGACGGATAGGAATCATAAGCACAAAACAAAAGAATGAGAAGTTGGGCGTGCCCCTTGTAGTTTGGCAATGCTTTTGTAAATTAGAAGTTTTTATTGTGACTAAAAGTACATACAGAAATGGATGATGTATACAACTATAAGGGTTAAAACGCAAACTTGAACAAACAATACAAAGTTAGACGTAACAACATCCTGAATCTGACATTTAGAAGGGTTTAATTAGAGCTGAGAGCCAGAGACTGTAAGCATTTTATTTCCTCTTACGGAATCTCTTGTACAGTTAATACTCTATATTAAGTAGCCGGACGTCACTTAAATTATCATTTGTTTTGCTTTTTTGGGTTCAGGTTGCATATGAAGATTTTGTCTCTGCTGAAAAAAAAGGACTTGTGATAGTTTCTTTCCTCTATATCCATAAATTGAGCTCAATATATATATCATTATAATTCTCTTGCCTACTCAGGAGTTTTCTTGAAAATTATTCGTTTTTATTCTTCTGTGCAGTTGAGATCAGAGGGTAAAGAGTAGGTTGTTAAAAAGGAGATGTAATGCTTTTACGCTTCAAAGTATAACAGAACGCTGAGATCTCAGTCACTCTGTTCACATATAACATCACACGTTGCATTTCTTGCACGTCCTCTTTTCATTTGTTCTATAAAGAATACAGCGATATCTTTCTTTCATTTTACACTCCGAGAAGGTAATTTTTGTTATTAAAACAGAAGATGAGACGTATTAGTTTCTCTTTGAACAAGCAATCTGTGTATTCTTCATTTTGTTCAATATCACTGTTTACTGTGTTCGACGTTCTAATAACACAATCTTTGAAACATAACAATAACCTATGATATCAATATTCCCCTGTAAGCATCTTATAATAACAAAATCACAGAATCTTTGAAACATAACAATAACCTATGATATCTATATTCCCCTGTAAGCATCAACCTAGCGGCTTGGCATGGATACAAACATTTCAAGTATCCAAAATAGCAGATATGAACGTAAATAATCTTAATAGAAAACAGATGAAAAGCGTGCAAGAGTAAAATACATAGATAAAAGCAGTTCTCAACTGAAGGTAAAACATTGAGAGAGAGATAAAGTCATCAAATCCATCGTAATACCAAAACAGTAAAACAAGGCAAAGAGAGGTCAAAAGTGACCAAGAGTAGCGAGTGAGATAAAAGAGGAGCTGCTGTGCTTATAGCTTGTCTTCGAAGTCAGACAGTGGAGTCATCTGCTCCTTCATACCCTTCCTCTTCCTGATGTCAGCAACCAGCGTTGAAGCCTGCGATCCTGCCTCCAGAGGATCAGACGACATCATCTCCCAATGATCAAACACACACTGAGGGAAGGCCTGTCCTGAGGTTGCTGCCCTAAGCTGACTCGAGAATCCAAATGACTCCACGACCGGCAAGTACGCCTTGATGTTGTACAACGGTGTTCCTGGCCTCTGCATCTCCTCAAACACGTGTCCACGCTTCTGATTGAGAACACTGTAGATTCCTCCAAGAGCTCCCTCTGGTGCTTGGATCTCCACCATGTAAACCGGCTCCAACAATCTGGGCTTGGCAGTGAGCTGGGACGCGTAGATAACCCTCCTCGCTGTTGGGATAACCTGACCACCTCCTCTGTGGATAGCATCAGAGTGGAGCACCACATCACAAACCTCAAAGCAGATTCCTCTCATGTTCTCATCACACAGAGGACCTTCCTTGGACGCCCACTGGAACCCAGCAACAACTGAATCCTTGATTTCATTCAAGTACTGAACTCCCTTACACATGTCAACAACCATGTTAGGCCCTGTGGTTTCAGGTCCAAAGGCCCAGATCTTCTTTGCAAGATCCTTGTCCCAACCGAACTCCTCTGCCAAGATCTTGGATCGGATCTTAGGGTCATCTCTTGGACCAATACGGCCGTCATCAATTGCCTCTGCTAGACCGTCTTCCAAGGGTCTGGCTTCCATGTAGAGACGGTTATGCTTGTTAGGGGATTTGCTCATCACAGTGCGGACGGATCTCTCAAGGACAGTCTCACGGAAGGAGACAACAGGGTCTGACTTAACAATCTCAGCACCACCCATGAAATCATCCTGAAGATCCTTGAGACAAATCTCAAGATGGAGTTCTCCAGCACCAGCAACGATGTGCTCACCTGACTCTTCCATTGTGCACACAACCATAGGGTCTGACTTGGCCAGCCTCTTGAGTCCTTCAACAAGTTTGGGAAGGTCAGAGGCCACCTTGCACTGAACAGCAACACGGACAACAGGGGAGACGGAAAACTTCATTGCACGGATAGGGTGGGCATCAACTTCTTTCTCATTGGTTAGGGTAGCATTCTTGGTGATGAACTGATCAAGACCAACCATAGCAACAGTGTTACCACAAGGAACATCCTCAACAGTCTCTTGCCTCTTACCCATCCAGATGACAGTTCTCTGGACACTCTTGACGTACAGATCTTTCTTCTCACCAGGAACGAAGTTGGGACCCATAATCCTGACCTTCATACCAGTAGACACCTTACCAGCAAAGACACGACCAAAGGCAAAGAATCTACCCTTGTCTGAGGCGGGAATCATCTTAGAAACGTAGAGCATGAGAGGACCGTTAGGGTCACAGTTTCTGATGGCAGTGGCATACTGATCATCGAGGGGACCTTCATACAAGTTCTCAACACGATACCTCTGTGCGGTGTGGGGAGAAGGAAGGTGAAAGATCATCATCTCAAGTAGTGCAGTACTTGCAGGGAGCCATGTCTGCATGACACGCTTCATCAAAGGCTTACCCATGAGCTCCTTCTCATCAGACTTCATCTGGACACCAAGCTTCTGCAACATAGGCCACAACTTATCCTTCTGGTCGTTCATGCAAGTGGCAATGATTTGCTTGATGGGCTCGTAACAGAACTGTACAAACCCACGCTTGCAAGTGGCGGAACCAGTGTTTTTGCTGCTCCATTTCCTGGTGGCAGGGTCGAAGAAGTTCTCACCCCAAAGCCTCTCCATCATTTTAGATTCATCAACACCAAACTTGGAAGCGTACATCTTAGCAAAGTTGGTAAGTGTGAAAGCCCATCCGTGGAGCCCAGCAGAGAAAGCCACAGTACCCTTCTCAGGGTAGACCTGAACATCACCAAGGAGAGGATCCTCATACGTAGCCATGATGACATTAGCATTCTCAATGACCCTCTGGAAAGTCTGGTAAGCTTCCTCACCATCAACCTGAAGCTCAAGGAAACACCTGTCCATCTTGTTCACAGTCAAGACAGGCCTAATCCTCTCACCAAGAGCCTGACGAAGCACAGTCTCGGTCTGAACACAGACACCCTCAATACAGTCGACCACGACAAGAGCACCATCGGTAATACGAAGAGCAGCAGTGACCTCAGAGGAAAAGTCAACGTGGCCAGGAGAGTCGATGAGATTGATAAGGTACTCGTTTCCATCTCTGGCACCAGTGAAACTCTTCAAGGAAGCATCAGTCATCTCATAGTAGAGAGAGATACCAGTGGACTTGATAGTGATACCACGTTCGGCTTCATCAGCACGAGTATCAGTCATACGAACATCACCAGCAACTTCTTGGGCAATGATTCCAGCAGCAGCAACCAGGGAGTCAGTAAGGGTGGATTTACCTGTCGACAAGAAATAAAAATTAAGCATATGTCAAAAGAGAACACTTCAAAGAGCAGTAAATAATTAAAGCTGAAAATAAAGAGAAGAGAGTTACCATGGTCGACATGGGCAATAACGGACATATTACGGATGTTGTGTTTGTAGTCCATAATCCTACGAAGCTCATCAGCTGTGAACTTCACCTGCAAGTTTATAAAAAATAATTAATTTAGCTTTAAAATAAAAAAAAAAACAGGAATATATAAAGTTCAAACATAATGAAACACCAAGGCTTACCATTTTGAATTATTTTACTTGACACCTACAAAATTTCTGCAATCACAGAAACAAAAATTAGTCGAATGAAATAAAACGATAAGTGATACAGTAAGAACAGATGTATTCATAAACTCAGTTATATCCTAGGCAATAAAAATCGTAGTTACAACGATATATCGGCACAAATTTTACAGACAACAGACTAATGCAGCAGTGGAGTATAATTTTCATAGGATTATAACCAGAGAACCAAAAAAAACATGCGATTCACACTGTTACTTGTATAATCAAGATTACAATCAAAGAAGTATGTTTAGATCTTGTCAGAGCTACTACATCTTTAAGTGATTTCTTAGACCAGATCTTAAGACACGACAGGAACAGAACAGACCGATTACAACAACAATCAAGGACGACAAACAACGGTATCGCTCATCTAAACACCGACATCTAAAACTATGCAGATCGAATACAAATAAACATCAAAGATCGGTTAAATAGACATGGAACATGTAACTGAATTGAGAATATAAAATAACGGAGAAACGGACCGACCTTAGATGGGGAAAAAGATGGGAAGGGAGAAAAGAGGTGCAAGGAGGCGTTAAAGGCAGTGGGAATAATATATAATCACGAACGAGATGCCAAGAGTATATGCTTCCTTCCCATCTAGGGTTTAGCTCTTTTTCCTGATCCTTAGTGGGCCAAATTACCTTCGGCCCCATAATTAAAATTTAATGTTCTTTTAAATTACATGCAAAATTAATATTTAGAAGCCCCATTCTTATGTTTAAGATTGTGATAATACACGTTTCTGCAAAAACAAAACTAAAACAATCAAAACTTAGAGGAATTAAAATATCACACTCTTACTGTTTTGTACATGTCAAGTTAATAAAGCTTCAGTTTTTTTTCTTCACCAGAACTAAGATTCTACTACCCAACAACAACAAGATCAGTTTAGGGTAGTGCTGATAGAACAAAAGAACTGGACCCAACAATATTTTAAACAAATTTAGGAGGTTTCATTCCCCTAATTTCAGAAGAAAATTTTGTTAAAAGAACATAAATTTTTATAAATTTCTAATTGTGAAAAAAAAATTACTGGAATTTTTTTTTGCATTGAGTCATTACAAAGTTTGAGCGGAACCTGCTACCCTAACATGTAACTTTATGGCTAGATGTACATATGGACAAAATGTGTTGATTGATTTCGTGTACCGCGTGCAAAGACTATGTCTTTGTGTTTTGAGTCTAGGTGTTAACTTTAGCTCAAATGTTCTAAAACTATCCTTTTACAAAGATGGTTCAATTTTGAAGACATTTTACAAGGGTGTTGTAATTTTTCTAACAATACACAAAGTTTATCAAATAAAATTAAGAATAATCAAATAGATGTATAATCAAGAAATCAACATGGTAATAACATAAATATCTCCATGAGCAATGATATATCAGCTTCTAAAAACATTATAGAGCTAACAACTCAATTAATGAAAAAGAGTCGACAATCTATTTTCCCGCGTTAACTATCATATATCATCATATCCTTACAAAACTATCCACGAAACGCAAGTTGTAAACTTATTTATCCACGGATTAATAATTTGAAGCTTAGTTACCGATAAACCGATGGTTTTAATTGGTATACTGGTTTTTAATCGGTTTACTAGTTTTTGACTGGTTTACTCTTAAACAAACAATTTAAGATCAATTAAATCAAACAGTTTCAGATCAATTAAACCAAACAAAAAAAAAAAATCAGATTTTCATATATGATTTTTCTTTTTTCATATGATTTTGTTCTTTTTCTTCACTAACGTCACCCTTGCTGAAGTTTGTACAATGATCTTAGGGATTTGAGAATATTTTTTTTTTCTAAATCTTCTCTTATCTATACTATTATTTAAGAAGTAAATTTGCTTAGTTGTCATATTCTCCATAAGTTTAGGTAATTTTGTTTGTTTATCATATTTTTAATATTTATATATAATTTCCTTATAAATAAAACGAAATTATATAAATATATCATACTTTTAGAAAATAAGATAATGCTTGTGAATTATGTTGTTATCTATACAATTATTTAAGAAGTAAATTTGCTTAGTTGTCATGTTCTCCATATATCTAATTAGTCATTAAGTTTATATTTGGTTCGCCATTAACGATAGTAAGTCTAATTGTCATGTTCTTATGATTTTTACTACCCTTAATGACAAAACAAATATAAACTTAATGACTAACTAGATTTATTATTATATAATGACTAATAGTTATTACTATTTGACCAAAAAAAAGATTTATTACTATATAATAATAAAAAATTCAATATATAATTAAACATAAATAAAAAACGAATTTCAATGATTTTAGATTTATCTTTATCTAAAACTATTTTATATTGGGTTATAAAATATTTATTAACCTTAAAATATAATTATATTTTTAGTAATATATCATTAATTATAAATTAAAAACGAATTTCATTTATTTGATAATCATCCTTATTTAAATTTTTTATATTATGTCTTTATCAACATTTAAAAATAATTATATTTAAAATAATTATATTTGTTAATATATAATTAATTCTAAATTAAAAACGAATTTCATGAATTTGATAATTATCATGATCTGATTTTTTATAATTGTGTTATAAGTCTTTATTAACCTTGAAAAATAATTATATTTGTTAATATATATTTAATTATGAAAAAAATAATTCGCAAAGAATTTATGTATATATAGTTTACATTACTAAAGATAATTTTATTATACTTTTTTGTTATGTCTACAATGATATTAATTTATTACTAAATCTTTAAAATTTATGAGTATTTCCACATTTAATTTGTGTATGACAATTATTTATATGATGATTAGAAATTTTATATATAGAAATAATTTGTTTAGATTATTATTAAATATTTTGAGTGTATGAACAATAATTTATTATAATTTACTTAAATTGATTATATCTGTTTATAGATATTAGAAAATTATTAAGCCCGCAAGTGCGGGCAAAACACCTAGTTAAACATATTATTTATAAAACTTCTTATATAACATTTGTTGAAATTCAAATAAATCTCCCCATATTGCAAACCATAAATGTCATCAGAAATATTCTTCAAAAGTTATTTTGGATTATACGAAGAACATATATACACATCAAATCCAATAATGAATTGTTTTAAAAACCAAAAAGAAGGCTGAAATTAGTTATATGCATACAACATTGGAAAGTGGAGCGTGTGGTGTGAAACAAGCTTATGAACGAGAGACATATTAATTTGATGAACACTAGATATGAAAGAATATAAAAACTATTCTTTCATTCTGTTTTGTTTTTTATTTTTATTTTTCAAAATTTAGAACTTTGATATTAATTCCAGATTTGATCATTTTATTAGATGATAGAAGTCTTTTTTATTCTTTTATTTAAATCTATAATTTTTAATAAATGATTTTTTGACAATATGACTCTAAATATGATAATATTCTATATTTGTATAATATATAATATGATCTCAAACTAAATAATTATGTTTTTTGGTATAAAAATGAATAAACTGAAAACTGATGGTATATAAACCAAACTGAATCGAAGTAAATATGGATATAGAATAATAGTTATATTTTAATAAAAAAATACCGAAAAATCAAATCTAACTAAAACCTGATATCCGGATTGAACACCCCTAATCCAAATAAAACCAAACTATTGTTTCATTTTTCAAAACATAATAAAAATAACAACTTCATCAAATAAAGATACCCAAAATTACTTTAAATTCTAGATTTATACCCAAAATTACTTTAAATAAAGATAAAAAAAACAATACAAAATTTTCATCAAAAAATCATTCCGTGCTTGGAAAACGCGGGTCAAAATATAGTTTACTTTAAAAATAAATAAGGTGATAGATAAGACGTATGGTGATTACAAAGTATTTAAAGTAAAAATTATCTTTTTAATGTTTCTAATCATTATTCAAAATCTATAAAATTATATATATATATATATATATATATTTTTTTTTTTATATATATTTATACAATATTTATATCCGCAAATTTATGGGCAACCACTTAGTATATATTATTACGTTAATAATATTTTACAAAATCCAAAAAAATCTTGACTAAGATTAAAATTTTCTTAATATTAAAATAAAAGTAATCATCAATCACTTAAAATCAGCACATGACAACTTTTCAAGTTGAATTGCTAATCTTTATCAAATCTTGCAAGTTAATAAAGAAATCACTATTAATTTCCGAAAACAGCGTATATTATACAAACAAAAAGTCAAATCTTCTCAAAATTCCAAACTTACCTAATATAAACAAATTAACGTTCGATTAATAAATGACACCAAGTTCGGTTACTAATCATAAATATTATGCGCTTTGAAAATGCAGTTAGAATATAATATAATTTGAAAAGATTTTAAAAGTAAAATTGTTTCAAACTTCAAAGGTTTATAAATAAAATGTTGAACGGTTAGTTTTGGGACTAGATTTGAATAAAACAAAATTATATAAAATGCTAAGTTTATCATCGTATATGTATAATGATATTCTTTAGCAAAAAAAAAAAAAAAAAATATATATATATATATATATATATAATATTAGGAAAGTTCTGTAAATAAATGGAAAAAAACGACTACCCAAACTAGCTAGGGCTTCGGGCCTTGTCTCCCTATATTATGGTTTCCTGCTTTCAATTTTTTTAGGGGGGGTAAAATGTTACGAAGAGGTTTTCTGCTTAGATCTAATGTGTCTTCTCCCAAGACTATGACGCCAAAAGAGAAGCAACCCTCTGAACCACCGTCTCCGATTCCGACTAGTTCACTTCCCCATGACATCATCGTCAACATCTTAGCGCGTGTGTCGAGATCGGAATATCCAAAACTCTCCCTCGTCTCCAAGCACTTCCGCTCGATCCTTACGTCGCGTGAGATATACGCGACACGATCCTCCTTGGGATGCACGGAGCACTGTCTCTACGTTGTCCTCTTTAACCTAAAAACCAAGGAGAACCGTTGCTACATTCTCCTCCGGACAACAACAAGTAGTCACCACCGCTTGGTCCTTGTCCCTTCGCTTCCCGCTCTCCCGTACGGACCGTACCCCTCAAGCTTCGCTTCTGCGGGCTCCAAGATATACGTCTTTGCTGACATAAACGACAGCAACACGACGCTCAGCATTGACTGCGAATCTCACACCGTGCAAACTCTCCCCAGCATCATGCCTGAGCGCTTGTCTTATACAAACGCTGACGTCATCGACGGGAGAGTCTACGTCATCGGACGTCTCTCGAAGGACTTGGATAAGATGAAGGTGGTGGTGTTCAACACGGAAACGCAAACGTGGGAGCCTGAGATGACAAGGTCGGAGGTAGAGGCGGGTGACATGTATCATGGGAGTGTGGTGATGGGTGATAAGATGTACACTAAAGATTTTGACAGCAGCTATGTTTACGAGCCAAAGGAGAGGAAGTGGGAGACGGACGAGGTTATGAACTCTAAGGAGTGGAGGTATGGGTGCGTTGTTGATGATGTATTGTACTATTACGAATGTGAAGAAGGCGAGGTGAAAGAGTTGAGAGCTTTTGATGGGAAGGAGAGGTGTTGGCGAGTGGTGAAAGGTTTGGAGGGATTGTTGAGGGAGACGAGAAGTTCATTGTGGGCACATACTGAGAGTTATGGTGGGAAGTTGGCTTTGTTTTTCCCTAAAGGAGGAGAAGGAAGAAGAAGTGAGATTTGGTGTGCGGGGATTTCGGTGGAAAGACGTCAAGGAGGTGAGATTTGGGGTAAGGTTGAGTGGTGCAATCATCTTGTGACTGGGTTTCAGATTACTAAAACTCTAGATGTTGTTGTTTGATGATACCACAAATATCATTCTGTTTCTTCATATAAACTTGTGTTTCTTTTTTTATGATAGCAATATATCGTTTGTCTTGCTGAGCTTTCTTTTCATTGTTACCAAATCTCATCTTGGTGTGAAGATGCTTAGCTTTCTGTTACCGAGCTATGTTTGTTTGGAACCAGTAAGTTAACAGTTGGTTATTTGTTCTTTTAGTTGGTTCTACATTAGGAAGCTGAAGTGTTAAAAAAAACACAGTAGGAATAAATATAGAGGCAAACATTACAGACAACTCTACATAGATATTACATAGGTATAAATCTACAAACATGTGTATGTAAATTCTCATAAAGTTGATAGAATTGAGCCACCATAAGTATGTTAAACGATATCTAACCGTACAAAATATAATATCTATACTATTATATACGAAGTAAATTTGATTAGTTGTCAACTACTTCTTGATTTTAAGTAAATTTGTTTATTTACCTTATTTAAATAATTTCTTATAGAATTTATTATTTAATAAAAACGAATTAGAAGTAAATTTGCTTAGTTGTCAATTTCTCCTTGATTTTAGGTAAATTTGTTTATTTACCTTATTTAAATAATTTCATATACAATTTATTGTTTAATAAAAACGAATTTATATTAATAATATTATATTTTAGAAATATGTTAATTATTTTGTATTAAATTTTTATCTTAAAAATATATTTTTCTATTATAAAATTCAAATGAATTTACTGATTTATTTTTATCTTCTCCATGATTTTTGTAATTTTGCTTATTTGTTATATTTTTAATAATTTTATCAATAATTTATCATATAATAAAACAAATTTCTATTTAATAATATTATACTTTTAGAAAACAAGAAAATTCTTATTATCTTTAAAATATTTTACAACTAAGCAAATTTACTTCGTATATAATAGTATAGATTATCTTGAACATATATTTTCTGTTAGAACATTTAAGTGAATTATCTGATTTGTAATGAATTATCTGATTTGTAATTTCTCCATGATTTAGCTAATTTTTATTATTTATCATATTTTTAATAATTTCATATAAAATTTATTATAAAATAAAAACAAATTTCTATTAAAAATTATATTTTGAGAAAATAAGATACTTCTTATGTATTATATTGTTATGTTGAAAATATATTTTTATTATAGAAATAAAAAATTAAGATAGAAAAATTATAGTTAAAATAAATTAAAACAACAAATTTGTAAAAATATATTTTTAAAAATATTTTGTTACGTGAGTGTTGTCATTTATAATTAATTTTAAATTATAAAGCATAACTTATTATATTGGTTTGAATTAATAAAATATAGACTAATAATAAATTGTACGATAATTATGCCCGCATTTGCGGGCAAAACACCTAGTATATATATATACATACAGTTTAACATTAATAATATTTTTACACGCTTACTCAAAGTAAATTTGTTAGCGGGTTTGAATTAATAATAGATTTTTTAAAAACATAAAGATTAGGTAACATGATTTTTCTCTTTTTTTCCTTATGTTTTTCCTTATTTTTTCTTATAAAATATAATAAAGAAAAAAATAAACCTTTTTTTACTATACAATAGAAATACTCAAATTATTAGTAAATCGCAAGGTAATACTGCTTCTGGAAGATTGGAAGCCTTCAGAAAAGCCATAAATTTTATTGTTGGAAACTCTGTCCTCAATAACTAACTACAAGAAAATCAAATCATATCACCCATAGTTTCCAGCATTTCTATCCAGTTGAATGCTCTCTCTACATTATGCTCCCTTGCTTCTCTCACTACTATTATCTTCTTCCTTAACACGTACAAAACAGCAGCAGTAAAGAACATCAGCAAAACTCCACAGCCACTTGATACTGCTTTGATTATCATAGCATCCATGTCTAGAGATTCAGAACCTCCTTCTCCTGTGACAAAACAAGCAGCAAGTGAGATGTACTGAACCAAACTTTAGATTAAGGGAGAGTGTGTTTATACATACCAGGGTAGTAGGTGTACCATGTCAGGCTTTGAATAGTACTTAAATATTTTGGTTGCTTGTAAACCTTATTTACTTGATTCTTAGTTTGACCCATTTAAAAGGTTGTGCCACTAGATAGTGAAGTTGTTCTTAGGCAAAAAGATCTTACATCATATGTAAACAGTTTTACCCTTTAAAAATGGATTAGATCCTCAAAGCAATCAAAGTTTCTCCAAAAGAAAAGACAGAGTTGGTTCTTTATCTTATACTGGTACAAAAGTTCCATTTGAAAACGGTTATAGCCAAATGGATTGACTGAAACTTTCTTGAGCATTAGGTGTTTTGTCTGCACATGCGGACATAATTTTCCTGCGAATACTTATTAATTTATATTTTATTAATTCAAAAACAACATAACACCTTTATGTTTTTAAACTAATTATAAATGACAACACTCACATAGTAAAATATTTTTAAAATATAATTATACAAATGTTTTGTTTGATTTATATTTACTTATAATTTTTATATCTTATTTTTTATTTCTATAATAGAAGAATATATATTTTAAAATAACAATATAATGCATCAGAAGTATCTTATTTTTTAAAAGTATAATATTATTAATATACTTTTTATTATGTAATAAATTATATACGTAATTATTAAAAATGTGACAAATAAGAAAAATTATCTAAATCATGAAAAAATTACAAATCAGGGAATTGTCTTAAATTTAATAAGAGAAAATATATTTTTAGAGATAACAATATAATATATAAGAATTATTTTATTTTCTAAAAATATAATATTATTAATATAAATTCATTTTATCATATAAAGTTATACAAAAATTATTCAGACATGAAAATAAGAAAAATTATCTAAAATCATGGAAATGATATGACAAATCAACATTTCTTTATTTATACTTAATTTAATTTTGTATATCTTAATTTTAATTTATATAATTTAAAATTATATTTTTCAAGATAAGAATATAATATGTAAGAATTATCTTATTTTTCTAAAATATAATATTATTAATAGAAATGATTTTTATTATATAAAATTATATATATATAATTATTAAAAACATGATAAATCAGAGAATTGTCTAAATCACCACAGAGAAGCTACAAATCAATCAACAAATTCACTTAAAATACATTTTTAAGATAACAGTTTCATACAAAAAAATAATTTATTTTCTAAAATATAATATTATTAATCTAAATTCATTTTTATTATATAAAAAATTATATGATGAAATTATTAAAACATAAAATAATCATAATTATCTGAAATCAAAGAGAAATTGACAACGAAGATAATTTACATCTCAAATAATAGTATAGATTGCAAACTGCATAAATTTTATAATAATTCTACTATCTTAAATATTATTAATTAAATATAAGTAATTAATAAAATATAAATGCATTTTCAATTATTTTTTAATTTGTGTGAAAAAGGATAAAACCGACATTTAAAAAAAAGCTGAATTAATTTATATATTAGAAGATCCCACTGGGATTTGTCAACTTAAGATACTCAAAATACACATACATACATATATATATATATATATATATATATATATATATTAGTATTTAATTATAGATATGCCAAATTACTGAAAACCCAACCTAAAGTAGATATTTAGGATATTTTGCGTTGGATTTTCTGCTCTACCTACCTGCTAGGGTTTGCCGCTTTCCTCCTTGTTTGATTGTTGATCTAAAGATTTCTTCCAAAGAAAAAAATGGAAAAAGAGAAGCAGTCGTTCCAACCACCGTCTCTGACTGCGACACTTCCCCATGACCTCGTCCTTAACATCGTAGCTCGTGTCTCTAGATCCGACTATCCAGCGCTCTCCCTCGTTTCCAAGCATTTCCGCTCACTCGTCGCGTCACCTGAGTTATACGCAAGACGATCCTTGTTGGGATGCAAGGAGCACTGCCTCTATGTTGTCCTCAACGACGCAAAATCCAATGGTAACCGTTTGTATATTCTCCGCCGCAAAACCAACGGCAGTCACGGCTTGTTCCCTGTTGTCCCGTCGCTTCCTTTTATACCGTATATTTCATCAAGCTTTGTCGCAGAGGGATCGAGTATATATGTGTTTACAGATGTTACGACACTAAGAATTGACTGTGAATCTCACACCGTGCAACCTCTCCCTAGCATGCCTGCGCCCTTTTTGCAATCTCACTCAGTCGCTAACGTCATCGACGGGAGAATTTACGTTATTGGATGTCCCCGGGGGGAAGTGAACAAGGACAAGGTGATTGTGTTGGTGTTCAACACAGAGACACAAATGTGGGAGAATGAGATGAAAACGTTTGAGATAGAGGCAGGTGAGTTTTATCATGGAAGTGTGGTGATCACTACAAGAAAACACTGGAAATCCTGACGAACATTCCGACGGA